TGTACACACCTATAATCCCAGCACTCAGAAGGCTGAGTCAGGAGGATTGGGAGTTCAAAGTCAACCTGGACTATATAGTGAAACCTTGTCTCAAAAAATTCAAGCAAGAGGGCCGGGGATTTAGCTCAGTGGTTCTGGCACCTGCCTCACAAGCACAAGGACCCGAGTTCAATCCCCAGTACCAAAAAAAAAAAAAAAAAATTCAAGCAAGGGCTGGAGATTTATTTAGCTCAGTGGTTCTGCCACCTGCCTCACATGTGCAAGGTCCAGAGTTCGATCCCCAGTACCCCCCCCCAAAAAAGTAAAAAAATTCAAGCAAACAACACCTGAAATTCTCTCTCATGGCAAAGACCAGAGGAACCTTTGCCACAAAGGTCTTATGGACCTTTCTACTTATCATAGGGCTTTGGCTTCACCACCAGAGACTTATTCCCTGCCCTGTTTTGTCCATCTTTCCTGGAGGGCAGGAGCTCTTCTGGCTGCTTCTGGGGGCTGCCTGGGGATTTATTAAAGATGATAACATAAACAAGCCCTACTATAATCTTTTCTGATGAGGACATAGACGGGCTCAGTGGAGAGAGTGGCCATGGCCCATGGCCTGAAATCCTTGGTGGGAAAGGATGATTCTCAGTAATGTCCTTAGGTTTGCAGTAGGACAGCCAGAGAAGTCAGCAAGTAGGGCCTCTACTAAAAGACTTCCCTGAAGACATGCAGAAGTGAGCCTGATGAAAGGGGCACCAAGCAAGCTTTCCTTCCCCCTGAACTGTTCAGAGCCATATCTGAACCTCTGTTGCCTAGGGTAGGACACATGGGCTGGTATAAGGACACCTGGGCTTATCCTCCTCCACACACGGAACACAGATAGGTAGATGGCATTTCATAGGAACTGGGATTCTAGTGAGGAGGATCCCAGTAGGGATTCAGGTAGAATTTTCTGTAGTTTATTAGAAATGATTTGTGTGCTCTCTCTCTCCTGCAAAGAGAGCTCCCTCCTCAAAGGCAAGTCTCACAGTCTTCTCTGAGCCAGGCACTAAGTAGGAGTTGGGTTTGCACAGACTGAAGGAGGCAGAATGCCTGCATGCATGAGTGAGAAAGGCAGAGTCAGCCCAGATGCCTGCCTAGGGGAGTGCAGAGAGGTGAAGAAAGCAGCATGTTTTGACTTGGATGCTTACAACTGGAGAAACTATGGCTTCATTATTTTTTCTTGTCATCACAAGCCTTCAGATGCATGTAACTCTAATAGCAGTGGAACTTAATTAATATTCTTGGGAGGAATGCATGGGTGGTGGGGTCAGGCCTGGTGGTAAATATTTCTTTTCTTTTTTTTTTTTTTTTTGGTACTGGGATTGAACTTGGTGGTAAATATTTCTGATGATTTTTACTGCCTCTTTTTCATATAATGCAAGTAAAGATTTGCACATTGCAACAGTAAGGAAATTGTGCCAGCAAAATATCAAGCAAATTCTGTATCTTCTAGCCATATTCCATTTTGGATCCAATAGAGCCATGGCAGCTAAAGACCCAGCACACAAAGGAGGCTGTTGAGGCACCTCAGGTGGGCTCCTAAGCAGGGCAAAGATCAGCTATCTTGTTTGTGGCCCATGCCAGACTGAGGCTGGCTTGGGGAGCTGGCTGATTCCTGTTAGTGGAGGTGCCAACATACTTCAGTAAGGAGGGAAAGCCTCTGCTTCTTTGGGACTCTTTCCTTTCCTTCCTCTTCAGTTTTGCTTCTCTTTTCCAGAGGAGGACTGGACCAAGGAGCTAATTTCCTGAGTTGTTTCTCATTGTCAGGTAAGACAGGCCTTAGCAGCATGGTAGCAAAAAGGGACTGATGGTAAAAAGAAGTTCAGGGAGCCCTACAGATAGAAGCCAGCTCTCTCAGCCTCTCTGGAATAGTCCAAAGCCTATGGTACAATGTCATCCAGATCTGTCCTCAGTTATTCTTATTTTCATCTCCCTCTGGTTTGTCTCCTATTCTTGCTTGCAAAGTTTGTCATTCTTCTTCAGCCCCACAGACATCAACATCTTTGGATCCTGAGCCTCTCTGTGGCAGTTGCCACACTGAAGTCATCAGCCCAGAGCAAACTGGACTGTGTGGGGAAGCAGGAAAGATAGAGTTTGACCCAGCTAACCTCAGGGTGTGACCTCCTGGGTTCTGCCATCTCTTCATTTACTTAAAATGGGCCTTCCAGTGACTATTTCCAGGAATCTCACTAGTTAGCCAGCTCTGATAGGGCCTTCTCCTAAGGGTATACTATTTTAATGATTCCATTTTTCCCTGTTTTTCCGTGCCTGAGAACACAGCCTGGCCAAGAAAGTGGAGTAGTGCTCAACTATCATTGGTGTGCAGTTGGGTTTTCCTCTTATCTGGCCTTTCTTCAATGTGTCATTTGTCATGCTGAAGTAGAAAGAAGATAGCTTCAACTACTGAAGCTTGGGGAGCTGAAAAACTGTAGGATCTGCAAGTCCATCCTGTTCCTGGTGGGGCAGCAGCTGGACTCAAGAGGGAATGGTACTAGCAACACTACACAGGTGGTTTGCACAAACTAGGAGATTTGTTTTTTTCTCTATCATAAAGTTCAATGAAGTGCAGTGAATTCTCCTGAATGAAGCCAGGTCATTAACACCTCCTCCAGCAGGAGAAACTGAATGCAACCTCAGCACTCTCCCTGTTACTTGGTAGGTCAGAAGCCTAAATATGGTGATACAGGAGCCACAGTCCAATGTCTTTCTGGGGTGCTATTAAACCTGGTGATTGGTAGACATCCTAAGAAATGCAGGTGAGGGAAATGCTCAAAGCAGCATAGAGAACCAATCTCCATCAGACTATGGGGTGATGAGACAAGTCAGACAGGTCCTTCTATGGTGACCCAGTCTAGGTGAAGAGGAAGAAATTTATGTATGAGACAGGGAAAAACAGGAGACTGAATCAGAACCCCAGACAATCAGAGTTCCTTGGCTGAATGTCAGGAGTGGAAATGGACAGCACAAATGTGTTCCTGTGGACGCTCCTCAGAAGAAATGGAACTACAAGTTTGAAAAAGAAAGAGCACCAAAAAAAAAAAAGAGCACCACTCACTCACATTTCCAGGTCCCCCTGGGGCCCACTACACTGTGCTGTTTGTCACCAAGGTGAAAAGGACCTTGAAGATCTGCTTACAGCCAGGAATCCACTCTGAGGGCAACTCCCCAGGCCCACTGGCTGGGTAAGGCTAATTACCCCCACAGGATCCAAGGGCATGTTGATTAGAATCTGTGGAAAGCCAAAGCTCCTATGGCTTCTATGAAAACAAAAACAATAAATTCTTTTTCCTTTTCATGTAGTCCAACTCAGACTAACTAGTGGTGTTTATGAACCCAGAACAGCCTGGATTGGGAAAAGTTCAGGCCACTGGCCTGCCCATAGTGCTTATGTTTTCTTCCTCTGGAAGAAAAATATGGCAAACAAACAAAAATAAAATAAAAAACAAAACCAGACTCCCAACGAAGAGAAAACTTTAAGTTGTCATGTGTGTGCCAGGGATTTGTCCTGTTTTACTCACATCACCCACACCACTATTACAATTGCCCCTTATTTGAGGGGCTGCAAATATCCTAACTCTGTACACTAGGAAATGGACCTTTAGGCAATTTCAGCCTAAAAATCCCATCTGAGGAGTGGCAGGGATGAGATGTGGACTATTTGTGAAGTCTAAATATACACACGGAGTAACCAGATATGACTCTAAGGTGAATCAAATATCCTTCAGAGTAGAAGGAAACACTTTGAGGATTATCATAATGCAGGCAGAGCAGCTTTCCTCATCCCAGTAGTCCCAGTGAAGTGAGGTAGCTTTGCCTGAAAGGTAGCAGACATGAAGTCAGGAGAAAACACCAGGAAGTTGGGGCTCTGCATTTCTCTTCTTTCTCTTACCTGATTCATCCCAGAGTTTGGGAGGAGCAGCTCAGAATACTTAGGTGAAGGCCCTAGGTCTCCTCCCCAGAACTGACAGCAACTGGTCTGTTCTTTGGGGTGGCCATCACCACTCACTGGGATTCCTGGATTATTCCAGGTCACATTAGAAATTCTGACACCCCATGTCATAATTCCTCAATACTAGTATTAAATGAGTTTGTAAAATGGGTCCACATTGCTTTAAGTCCTCTATACAGCCACAATTCATGAAGTCACAAATGGTTTGGAATATCGTTTGGTTCTTCTAGGAAATGTTCTCCCTCAAGAAAGTATCTGAGGGCCGGGGATTTAGCTCAGTGGTTCTGCCACCTGCCTCGAAAGCGCAAGGACCCGAGTTCAATCCCTGGTACAAAAAAAAAGAGAGAGAGAAAAAAAGTATCTGAGGCTTGTCTGAGAAGTAGATGATCCTGAGTAGTGTACAGTGGTCTGAAAACACGAAGAGGAAACTGGGGGCCCCTCTTCTACACAGACCCTGGGCGCCACAGCACCAGGCCTCTGAGAAACATCAACCCTCTTCCTCATATCCAAGGACCCTGCTCCAGGCTTGCTGACAACCTATCTTTTCCCAGGGTGGTTCCTGAGACTCCAGTTCTGTGGGACTGGCCTCGCTGGGGTCATGTCATCTGGTCTTCAAAAGCCTTGCAGTCCAGCCCCACCACCCAGCATTCTTTCTCTTTCCTTCTACGACTACGCATCTCTCAACACCCGCCTGTTGTCACCTTTCCAACTCCTAAGCACCCTAGGGCCTCACTTCTCTGACGATTGTCCACAAGACGCCCACCCCCTGCGGCACTTGGGTTACCAGGCAAGTCCCCACTACGGAGCCGTCGTGGACAAAGATGTCACTGACTTCACGCAGGGAACAGCGCTAAGAGCCCTGGGCGGGTTTCACCAGTCAGTGACTTTCCATCCGGGCTCCGAGCGGCGTGGCCACCAACTCTGGAAGGCGCATGCGCAGGCCCAAGGCCGCTTGCAGAGACCCAGGGGTTGGCGCGTGCACGCGAGTTTGCGCGCGCGCGGCGTGCGCAGGGAAGGGGCGCGCGGGAGGAACATGCGCAGTAGCAGCAGACGGCGGCGCGAGCTGAGTTGGGAGATGGCGGCGGCGGCACTGAGAGTGTGAGCACCGCCCGGGAGCCACTGGCCCGGGCGCACTTCGACCCCAATCCCGCCCTCCCCGGCCCGCCATGGGCAACGAGGCCAGCCTGGAGGGCGGCGCTGGGGACGGGCCGCTGCCACCCGGAGGAGCGGGGCCCAGTGCCGGGAAGCCTCCTTCAGCACCATCCGGTGGCGGACAGCTCCCCGCGGCAGCGGCGACACGGGCCACTGCGGGACCGCCAGGCCCGGGTCCTGGCCCCGGGCCCGGCCCCCGCCTCGGCCCGGATAGGTAAGCGCGCGTCTCTGGAACAGGGTAGGGGCTGAGCCTGAGGCGGGGGTCGGGGCCTGGAGCTCAGTGTCTGGTGGACAGCGAGGTGCGATGTCGGGCGGCACTCAGCCCTGGCAGGTTGGCAGGAGCTCAATGGTTGCGGGAAGTGTCCCTTGGTTTCCAACTGTCCTGCTTTGGCAAGGCAGGATAGTGAGCCCGGGGTCAGGCGGGGCCTGTAGACCAGACCGTGACTCCGTCATGAACCCCAAATTCTCTTTCCCCTAATGCCGGGGCGCAACTGCTCGGGAGGGGTTTATGTAACCTTAGCCTGGGCCCTCTGCACAGGGGCGCAATGGGATGGAAAGGTCCTCCCTCTGCAAGTGTCTGCATGTGTCCATTGTGCTGGGTCGAGAAAGAGCACAGTGGGAGTGACCGTCAAGGAAGATCAGTGTCACTGCCAGGAACAGAGAGATCAGAAAAGAGTTGAACCATGAACTTGGTCTTATGCTTTCCTAGGCATTTAGTAGTTATGACCATCTTTGGGGAGAGGAGAATTGCTCAGTGGACACCAGTAGTCACAACGATACTGACAGGAGCCAGGTGTGGTGGCACATGCTTGTAATCTCAGCACTTGAGAGGCTGAGGCAAGAGGATCTCTGTAAATTCAAGACTAGCCTGAACTACATTGCAAGACCCTGTCTCAAAACAAAAACAAAGAAAAACAAAAACAATACTGACAGGATCATGTGCTTTTACCAAGGCTTAGGGAAACATTTCCAGGTGAAGCAAAAATACTATTACCTAGCACCAGATATGTTCTTGTTGCCCACTGATTTAAATTACCATCTCAAACCAGTGGAAAGCTGAAACCCACATAGAATTCTTGAAACAGAACATATCTGATCAAATACTGTGAGACCAGCATGATTTAAAAGTTTGCCAACCCAGGTTCTACAGAAACAATCAAGTTGCAGTGAGTGCAAGAGGGAATGCCAATATAAATCAGAGACTGGAAATTTAGGGAAATTACCAAGAGATGACAGGATAAAATGGAAGGCAGTTTTTTTTGCACCAAAATAGACCTGGGAAGTACCAACCCCACCCTGGTTGGGGGAGCTTCCGGCTCCATGTGAAGATGATATATGTTGCTTTGCCTTTTTTGTGTGGTAGTACATAAACTCCAAGACACCATAATTTTTGCTTCGTCAGCTGTCCAACTGGGTCTCATGTGTGTTTATCTCCTCACAAGTCATTTCTTGGACGACTGACAATGATGAAGGGCTTTTATCTTATTTCTTGGTTGTTTTTTTGTTTTGTTTTGTTTTTTGGTACCGGGGATTGAATTTGGGTCCTTGTGCTTTCGGGGCAGGCATCAGAACCACTGAGCTAAATCCCTGGCTATTTCTTGTTTTTTTGAGACAGGGTCTTACTGTGTAGTTCAGGCTGGCCTTGAATTCACTCTGCAGTCCAGGCTGGCCTTGAATTTACAGTGATCCTCCTGCCTCAGCCTCCCTAGCGCTGGGATTACAGGCATGCAACACCATCCCCTGCTATTTTATTTATTTATTTATTTATTTATTTATTTATTTTTGAGACAGAGTCTGGCTATGTACTTCAGGCTGTCCTTGAACTCACAGCGATCCTCCTTCCTCAGCCTTCTGAGGGAAGGGATTACAGGTATGCACCATCATACCTGGCTTAATGAAGGGCTTTTTTTTTTTTGGTACCGGGGATTGAACTCGGGACCTTGCGCTTTCGAGGCAGGCACCGGAACCACTGAGCTAAATCCCTGGCCCAATGAAGGGCTTTTAATACCCTGAAACCTGTCACAAAAAAGCCATCCTGTGAGCATTTCTTTTAGAGGTGGGATTTGTCTATTTAAAAAAATTTTTTTTCTTTTTTATTAAGTTTATTGGCACATTGTAGGTATACAATAGAGTTACATTCATCATTGGGATCTTGTACCTTTACATGATGTATCTTGGTTCTTATTTTTTCCCCATTCCCCTGCCCTCCCTTCACTCCCTCCAGGGTTTGTCCATTTTACATTAGCTGTTAGGGGAATGTAGTTGGATAGCACATGGCTTTTATCACTGCAAACCGTGTCTATCTTGCTGTGCACTGAATTTCATTTGGATTTTAACTTGAAAGGTCCTCAATCAGGCTTCAGTGATCTCCTTCCAAGGGAAAGCTTCTACTCCTGAATGGAAAAACACCTTGTTATTGGGAGCACTCTATATGGGAAATTTGCTGTTTCTCTCCTGGTAACTAAACAGGCTGCTGTGCTTGTAGTTTATCAGATGTTCCACAGCCAAGCATATGAAATTTTGGAAAGTCTTGGGCAGCTAAGAGGGACAGGAAGGAGGCTGGTGGGCACTGCTTATATTCCTTTTTAATGTTTCATTTCTATTCCATCTATGCATTCCACTGCAAGGGGAGGGGAACCATGGGCTCCTGCTGGATGTAACAGTCACACATTTGGCTGTGGGCAAGGCTAACACATGAGCCTGTGGTGCTGAAGTCCTGTGATTATCAGGCACAGGTGATCAGCTAGCTCTTTGTCACCAAAACCCAGGACTGGGTTTATCATAGCACCTCACCTAAACAGACAACTCCATGGTCTGCCTCTTCTTCAGCATCAGAATGGCTTCTACTTCCTCTCTGAACATCTCAGGTACCTGATGCTAAATTTAGCATGTTGTGTTCTGAGTTGCTTCGAACAGATTGGTCCATTGATGGAGAAAAGGCCCTGTGGCATGTGCCTCTGGGCATTCAGGAAAGAACATCGGCACAGGGACATATCTGTTTCCAGCAGGATTGTGGATTTTGGGACAGTCAGAAGTTTCATGGAACTAGATAGAGGGTCAGGTAAAGGGGTGATCATTTTTCTAACACCAGAGAGGAACAAAACTGAAGTTTTAGGAGAGTTTCTGTTGCCATATTATCTCATCACCCCAGGCTAAATTAATCTTTTCATCCTCATGCTGCACTACCTTGGGTTCTGTGAGAAATGGCTAAAGAGTCTGACTTGAATTCCGTAAGTAGTGGTGCCACATGGTATTGCTGAGAGGCAATACCATGGGATGATAGGGTGCTTTGGGCACCAGAGAGTTCCTCAAGGAGGGGCTTCCTGATTTTGTTCACTGGGTCACTGCATACAGATACATAGGCTGTGTCTTTGTCAAGGAATACCATATTGGGAGAAGACTGAACTCTGTTTTGGGCTCACTCTCTAAGCTAGTATGGGCTGCATCCTATTAGAAAAAGGAATATCATTCATTCAATCACTTATGGAGATGTGCCTAATATGAAAGGGGGTGTACAAGTTGATGGGCTACATACACCTACACATACCTATACATACACCTATACATATGCCCTTGACACACTATTAGTCAAGATAGAAACTTACAAGTAAAAAATTTCACGAAAGAGCCATGTAGACCTGTGGCAGCCTGTCTCATCTATACTCACCCTATGGGTTTGCATATATTTTAACATTTACAAGTTGATTTTCAGTTAATTAGCTGAGATACATTTACCAGCTATCAAAAGCAAGTGTTGGCCTTGGCTTCATGAAGTATGTGGAAATGTATATGGTACTTTCTTATCTTCCAGAATTTGTAGTTTCCCCCCATGGTAGGAATGGAACCCAGGCACATTACCATTGAACTACACCCCTAGAATTTTTTGTTTTTTATCTTGAGACAGAGTCTCACTAAGTTGCCTAGGCTGACCTAGAACTTGTGATCCTCCTGCATCAGCCTCCTAAGTGAGCCTCTTGAGTAGTTGAGATTGCAGACATCTGCTGCTGTGCTATGCTCAGATAGCTCTTAAAGAGCCAAATCATGGAACCCTAGGAGAGATACTGTGGGAAGCTCAGTGTCTGAGAAGGATCAAATAGGCAATGTTTATCGAAGGATTGTCAAATAGGAAGAGTGGAGAGATAGGGCTAGGCTTCTGGAGGAGAGACCCAAGGGATCCTGGAAAAATGGTAGTATTAGGAGAGGCAGAAAGAGAAATGGGATGAGGATTGTGTTCTGCAGGGGCAAGGACAGTAGCAGAAAATGAGGCTGAATGACTTCAGGGGGCTGGGAGAGAGCTGAGGACAAAGCCAGGTGAGATATCTCTCACCATCCAAATCTGTGATCAACTCATTTCTAGCCCGTAAGTCACGGAGACATCTTAAACTAAAGGCAGCTAGGCACAGAGAACCTTAGTCGAGGCTGCTTTGAGAACAGCACCCAGAGTTCCTTTTTCAAAATGAACTTCTTGGGCATAGTGTCTCTGGCTGGGATTAGCGAGACTTGTTATTCAGTTAACATCAGGGTCTAGAAAAATCTCGGCAGAATTTGTAAAGATAAAATGAAATGACACAATTTTCAGGTTTGGAAATAGCTCTTTATCATTTAGACACTCTGTGTGTGTCTGTGTGTGTGTGTGTGTGTGTGTGTGTGTATGTGTATGTATGTTACTAGAAATCAAACCTAGGGGCTCTATAACACTGAACTACATCCTCAGCACTTATAATATATATATATATATATATATATATTTAAGATAGTGTTCAACTAAATTGCTCAGGTGGGACTTGAACTTGTGATCCTTCTGCTTTAGCCTTCTTCAGTGCTGGGATTATAGGTCATTTAGAGATCTTCATTAGCTCCTGTAGCTGGTTTTTCAGGGAGGGCATGCCACTAAGTATGCACTAAAATGACCTCACATCTGAATGGTAATGATGTCAAAATTTTACCTTAAGAGGGCAACGAGTTTTCCATTTCTTGTTAGGGAAAGAAAGGTAGCTTTGTTAATATAGTTGTTCCCAGCATTAGTAGGATTGATACAATGTCATTGATTTTAAAAAAAATTATATCTGGGCATGGTGGTTTACACTTATAATTCCAGTATTTGGGGTGGCTGAGGCAGGAGGACTGCAGTTTTGACCAAAACCTGGGCATTTTAGGGATTTAGCAAGACCTGTCTTAAAATAAAAAGTAAAGAAGACCTGGGGATGCAGGCCA